CCAGGGGACACTGGCTTCAGCTCCTCCTGCTGTGTGTGTGGGGGTGGCTGTGGGGGGGGTGGCTGTGGGGGAGGGTGTGCTGCTGGGTGTTATGGGTCGGGTGGCCAAGTGGCTTGGTCCCGAGCCGTTTCCGTCTCTCTCTCCGTGTCTCTCCCTGTGTCTCTCTTCGCGTCTCTACCTGCGTCTCTCTCCACGTCTCTCTCTGATTCTCTCTCCGCGTCTCTGTGTCTCTCTCTGCGTCTCTGTGTCTCTCTCTGCATCTCTGTGTTCTCTCCACGGTCTCTGTGTGTCTCCTGTGCCAGCCTGGCTCCTCTCCGCAGACGCCTCCGAGGACGCGCTCATGGTGGACTGGTTCCGGCTCATCCACGAGAAGCAGCTGCTGCTGCGGCTGGAGTCGGAGCTGATGTACAAGTGAGAGCCCAGCCCCGAGGGCCTCCTGGGGCGGGCAGGCGGCCCTCTCTGTGTCTCTCTCCGCGTCTCTGTGTCTCTCTCCGCGTCTCTGTGTCTCTCTCCGCGTCTCTGTGTCTCTCTCCGCGTCTCTGTGTCTCTCTCCGCGTCTCTGTGTCTCTCTCCATGTCTCTGTGTCTCTCTCCGCGTCTCTGTTTCTCTCCCCATCTCTGTGTTTCTCTCCGCATCTCTGTGTCTCTCTGTCTCTGTGTCTCTCTCCATGTCTCTGTGTCTCTCTCCGCGTCTGTGTTTCTCTCCCCATCTCTGTGTCTCTCTCCGCATCTCTGTGTCTCTCTCCGCGTCTCTGTGTTTCTCTCCCCATCTCTGTGTCTCTCTCCCCATCTCTGTGTCTCTCTCCGCGTCTCCGCGTCTCTCTCCGCGTCTCTGTGTCTCTCTCCGCGTCTCTCTCCACTGGGCGACTGGTGAGGCTGGGGGAGGCCGCGCGGGGCGGCCTCACCGTGGACGTGGTCCTTCCTTCTCCTTCCGTCTGTGTTGCCTGGAGGCACCCTCTGTCCCAGGTGCCCGGAGACCCCACCCTCCGGGGGAGGGGCCTGGGGCTGGAGGAGGGGACACTGTCCTGAGGGGGGCAGGGCCCGGCTGACGGCCGCTGTCCCCACAGAGGCTCTGAAGTCCCCCCAGGACCGGCAGCGGGAGCAGGACCTGCTGACTCAGTACGTGAGCACCGTGAACGACCGCAGCGACATCATCGACTTCCTGGACGAGGACCGGCTCCAGTGCCTGCAGCGGCCTGAGGGTGGGGGCGGGACTTCACATTTTATTTCAGTTTATTTGTTTATTTACTTACTAGGGGCCCCTGCACGAAGTTCTTGCTCCCCCAAGGGGAGCGTTGGTCCCTAGGTCTGGCCGGATCAGGGCCGATCGGAGCCTTCGTTCCCTGCCGCCCCCTGGTGGTCAGCACACGTCGTAGCAAGCGGTCGAACTCCCGAGGGGACCCTCTGCATATTAGCCTTTTATATATGGATTGTGTTAATCCTCACGGAGGATGTTTTCCATCGATTTTTTCTTTTTAGAGAGGGTGGAAGGGAGGAGACGGAGAGAGAAACATCAGTGAGAGGCA